GTTAATGAACTTAGAACCTAGTAATAATTCTGTGTTGGTTCCTATTTTCTATCCTAGATCTACACAAAATAACTTATTTTCTTGAAAACTAAGAAACTATAACAAGAAAACCACTTGACAAGTAGTGATTGAGAAAAATTATTTGAGTTTCTAAATAATATATGCCAATATGCCCATAGTTATATGTAACTAACAATACAAACGTAATATTGGTTGCTTAGATGTACAATATAATTATAATTCTTTAAGTGAGCCAAAACATACATAATAGATCATTTATTTTTTAAAGATTTGAAATAACTACTTATGTTTATTTAAATAAATCAAATTATATAAAATGCCAAAATTTTTTCTACAATTTTCCAAATACTCTTTTCATAAAATCTTTGATTGGAAGTACAACAAATTAATGGTTAGTTATTTTTACCAAACACAATTATATAATTTAGTCAAAATTAGAAAAAATATTGTATGTAACAACTTACGAAATGCCATTTTGTGTAAATCGTTCATGTTACGGGACCTCTGCTCATCTCGCAAATATTCATTCGTTACATAAATTAAGGCATTTCATAATTGGTAGCATAAATAGCTATTTTAAACGTAGACGATTTTTAGATATTTAGTTTTGACGGCATCAGCCAATTTATACAAATTTTTTAAATATGATTATACTAAATGTAAAAAATATATTATAGACTTTATTGTTTTTTTTATTTATTTAAATATTTGAGACTTACTTTTATAAAAAGATTTGGTAAAATTAATAATTTTCCAAAAGTAGGCCTCGGAACAAATTAGGCATGTCAGAGATTGCACGTCTTCTTTTCAAAACGGAAGATAGTATCAGGCTTCTAAACAAGAGAACTGTCGGTGGGCAGGCTTAGTATGTCTAAAGGGTTGCAACATACTCTATCTACAATTGCTGCGTTTGAAAAGTACCTCGTTTTTGCTTTTTTGCTCGATACCGTTCTTTTAATACATCCAAGCTCCGTTTGCTCGATTGATACGATTTGCTCGATGTCATGTGACCAAAAAATCTACTCGCTCTGATCGAGGAGGTACATTTCAAATGTAGCAAATACATGAAATCATGAATAATGGATTAAATTTAAATATTTTAGGTCGAACACAACGAAAAATAGCATCCAAGATGGAAGGCTGTGTCGCAACTCCCTTAGATATACGAGCCTTTCCCACTGGCAGTTATTGCTTGCCAGGTAGTTGGAATGCCTAATTTGATTCAAAGGCCTCAAGTTACTCCGGACTTGGCTTGTATCTGACTTTGTAAGTCATGGCCTACTTTACAAACATTTTTGTGGATCATTATATTGTTTTAACTTATACATATATCAATAATATTGGTAATAACAAAACAACCGATGACACAAAAAAAATAACAAAACAAAATGTTAGGGATATGCCCAACAAAACTCATAACGTATTTTAATAGTGTTTCTAGTTAAACACATACACACCTACTAGATAAAGAAATTCAAATTAATCCGAAAGCATCATTTAATTGCTCACAAGAGTATCGAAAGCCCTTTATTTCTTATCTTAAATTTCACTAATGACCACAAAAACAAACAGCAATAAAAGGGTGCTTAAAAATAATTAATTACTTCACCTAATTGAGGTAGTTACTTTCCATAGGAACATTAAATCTTTTTCAAAGCATTAAATAGAAAATAAAATTGGTTGAATGATATATAAAAAATTATTGAATAAATTTTATATTTAATTTTTGGAGTACCTACTACATTTCCTTCCAAGGAATTATTTGAAAAACGTTTACTTGGGTATTTTTACTTAAAATTGAAGACATCAGTTGATACTTAAAACAAACAAAAAATTGTGTATCTTTGGTTCTTTATTAACCCAATACAACCCCTGAATCGACCAGGATTATCAAAATTTCAATAATAATAATAAAGGTGCTATGTCAGTCATGCATTCGCCATTTATTAGTAGATAAAGGTGATATGTCCAATTTGGGGACATAACACTTTTATCAACTAAATTTTTGGAAAGTTCTGTTCACATGTTCAGGTTCTATGTGATATTTAAGGTTATGTTTATAATATTATGATTCTGTGGCCAAATCGAGGATTTTTAAAGAACCTTTTTATAAGGAATGCGGTTTTAACATTGTAAATAATAATCGTTTATCATGAGATCCAGAACTGAAAGAGTGTTAGCATTGATAACAGAGAAGAAGTTATTTCGTCCTATTAAAGGTAAGTTTGTTGTTTTAGTTTACTATTATACTGTTGCTTTTCCCATTTACCATTTATTCTAAAAAGAAAAACTTGGCGGAACATTTTTGATATGAATCGTTTTTCGGTTTTTGTGAGAGGATAAAAGTAATTTGACGCATGTTCTAGTACAGAGAAAATTGTTGAGGAAGACAATATAATGCAAGTCACCGCTCAACAAAATTTTCAGCAAAATATAAACAATATGAAGGCTATTGAGCAACCAAGCAGCAGCGGACTTCAAAAGCAGTTCTGTCCTAAAAAAGGTAAGCATAAAATAACATTTCGAAACCTCTTACTAAATATATATAATACTTTCTTTAGATTTACTTTCCAGTGATGAAAAAAGCGAAACATCAGGCAGCGTATATTTTACTTTCCAGTAATAAAGAATATTCTAATCACTCATTTGTTTCCCCCCGAGGTTCCCCCAAAACATACAAACATAAAGATGTTCATAGAATTAAATGTAGTGTTTTTTGATGAGAAGGAAAATGATGAAAAGGGCAGAAATACTCAACAAAGAAACCTTCGAAAATCCAAAAACATTAAAAGCATAGGATGATGGCCTGACAAAGATATTCAAGAAACTGAATGGGATGGAGAAACACAAAACGAGAACGTTCCTGCAAATCTCGAACATGATAAAAATTACAAAATGCATAAAAATAAACAAAAAAATCATGTTACGTCTGATGGAATAAGAAACAGTGAAACCATTAAATCAGATTTCAAAGTAGCTAAAAAGAGAGCACGGAATCCTGATAAATGGAAAAGACGCAAAGCTGCAAGGTTAAGACAAGGTGAAGAATATATATCTCAAAAAATTGATAAGGTGTGCAAAGATGCTTTCTGCTCTCTGTATAGAATTGGAAGGAAAAAAGTAATTAAAGCTCAACAAGAGTTAAAATCTGGTAAGGTGGCTCCCTAGCCACAAAAGCAAGGTCATCACACAAAATCCTAAAAATATTCCTAATGATGTATTGAAAATCACATCAAGCAGTTTCCTTCCAAAGAATCACATTATTCTAGGAACAAAAATCAACATAAAAAATAAATTTCTCCTTTACTTAACATTAATAAACTCCACCAACTTTATATAGAGCAGCCATACTCAACCTCGGGCCGCATGCGGCCCTCCAAGCTTTTCTTTGCGGCCCGAAACACTATTAGTGAGAAGGTGCTTTTTACAACTACTATTGGTTACAGTTTTTAAAATCTTGAGCGAAACGTGAGAAAATATTCATCGATCGCTGCGCTAAATAACATGTTTGGATCATGGGGTTACTGCAAAAACAAGATAGCTCCACTGTCGGTATTTTTGAGTTAAGTACGGCATAAACAAGACTAGTTTGAACGAAGTCAATATTGATGATAAACAGGTGACCAATAAAAACTAACTCCATATTAATACATTTACAATATGTACAAACAAGATGAGTGGCATTTATACCGAAATATAGTCATAATATTGCGTTCAATTGATAATAGAGTGTCTACCAAGGCCCGTTAAGAGACATGTAACTTATTTTTGCTAAATGTATTTAGTCCGAGTCCTAATATTATTTCTGCCAAAACAAGATAAAGACCAGAACACTTATTTTTGTTTAATGTACTTGTTGAAATACTTTTGCCCGAGCCATTTGTTTTGCCTAGAGCTGTTTCTGGTCTTTCTCGATTGGTCCGAAATTGACAAGGTGGTTACGTCGCCCTTTCTTTCCATGATACAGCTAACCTTCAAAAATCAATAGATGATAACACGTGATGTCCGAATCGCTGTGGTGAATGATTGATTGGTCAAGCTGTAACGAGTTATTGGTCAAGCTGTAACGAGTTATTGGTCAAGCTGTAACGAGTTATTGGTCAAGCTGTAACGAGTTATTGGTCAAGCTGCAACGAGTTATTGGTCAAGCTGTAAAGAGCGGGAATGCTGACGCTCGTCTCCATATTGTTTGCACGTTAAAATGACCAAAAGTACTTTTTAAATCACCGAAACAACAGCTTTTCACAATGCTTGAAAAACCCAAGCCACATCAGCAGAGGGATGCCTGAAAGGGTGAAAAAAGCTCTGAAAATATTTACAAAAAAGTGCAACACATTAATAATGCCAAAAAGAAAGATGTACTAAAGATGAGAATCCAAATAAGCTAAGTGACGTTTTCTTTTTCTTTTTTTTTTTTGTTACCAATCGATAGATTCTTAGTTTAAATTTTGTAAAGACTAATAATTATGTTTTGAATACATTTTTTTTTTTTTTTTTTTTTTTTCATTGGAATTATTGTTTATTAAACAGTTCAAACTTTTACTGATTTTTTTATTCAATTTTAAACTTTTGAAAAGTGTTTTCTCGAAACTCTAAAAATGTGAGTTATCTTGTTCTTGCAGTAACCCGACGGGATATATTTATGTTTTGTGTTTAATTCATTATAGGTTCCCACTAACTAATTTTAAATGGATGATCTAAATAAAGGGTATATCATGCAAAAATATTGCGGCCCGTGTAACATAGAAACATAAGTATGTGGCCCGAAGAAAAAAAAGCTTGAGCATGACTGATATAGAGCAATGCGAAGAAAGAAAACTCGAAAATAAATACATGATTAAGCCCTCCTTCTACCGTCATATTTTCGAAAAAAAGCGATACTTGCAGTTTATGTGATGCTGAGGAAAATACCTCAGAGTACACCAAAAATATTCGGTTTGCTTTTGCCTTGAAGAAAGTTGGCCGAGAAATGGCAGTCATTGACAAAGAAAAATATTACATTACAATGGACCTCAAACAAACAATGCCACTGCCAAAGTTATCAACATCAAAAAAAATTATTTAAGGCTAATGTGGTTGTACAACTTTGGTGCCCACTATATAACCAGTTCCTGCCACAAATATATTTTTTCACATTGATGAAAGATGTAGCCAACAGAGACAGCAATGAAATTGCAAGTTGCTTTCTATGATTTTGCAAGTTACTTAAAGAATAAAATCAGGAGATTGAACACTTAATAATTTGTGGGGGTTATTAGCCTTTACGAATACTTAATATATTAAATGATATTTTTTAAATTATAGACCATAAATTTCCTGATGATGGTCATAGCTATCTAATTCAGATAGATTTTAAACGAATTGAGAAAGTTCTTCAGATGCCCCAGAATATTTATATACCAGATCAATATCGAGAAATAATAAAATATGCCAGTACAAAGTTTGTGTTTCAATATGGAATTTTTTTTTATTATTTTGAACACTTCCAGCCAAACTTCATTTATACAAAAAACTGACCTGACCTGACATTATGAGATATTGCTTTCATTAATTGAAAATATAGTAAAAAAAGTTTTAAAGTGAAACAAGTTTTCCTCATTTACTCGAAACTTTAAAAAGTGGCCATAACACCTTTATCAATGCATGTCTTTAATTGTGACAATGCAATTTATTTCCATCTATTTCATGGTAAAATGTAATATAATATAATATATAAAATGTTTTAAATCCAAACACCAATATAATTCTGAATAAAACCTTCCAAGTATTATCTTTGTTGTTTTAATTGTATTCAAGTATTTTTTATTGCTAGTACAGTATACTTATTATGAAGATGTTTATGAGACTAAAAATAATACTAGGTAGCTAAATATCAAATAAAAGGTTATCAACATCTCCTGTATCACACACAAAATACATTTATCATATCTATAAAAAGTGCTTGTAAAGTTTGCAACCCATGTTTTGACCATTGATAATGATTGGGCAGACTCATCTAAAGTATAAACCAACTCAGCTTCAATTTCCGTGAGACAAACACTTGTGAAAATATTTTATGACAGCTTTGGATTTCTCCATTTGACAGCTTCCAGTTTTTCTTATTATAAAAACAAACTAGAACTTGATTAGTGCAGCAGGCTGTCAAATATGAAAAAAACTAATGTCATATGACATTGAATAAAATAAAAAAATAAATAATTAAAATCATATAGCCCACTATAGGTCAGGCTGGAAATTATTCATCCCATCGTATATGAGTAAAGTTGATTTGACAGGAAAATAGAAGAAAATGTCTTTTAAATCACAGTGTTATCTATCATGCTATTCTAAGTTCTTTCAGGGACCCTTAACGTATTACCTAGTTGTCAGTCTTACAATTCATAACACGTAAAAGATTACAAAACAAAAAAGAACAGGAAAGCATGTGCAGAAGACGGATGTGAATAAGAGATGGTGTTATGCAGTGTGCAATAATGATTGGCTATTTTTAAAGCAGGGCATTGTCCCTTTATGCCTCTGGCTACGGCCCTGTAATGATGGGTGTTTAAACTATGTAAAACATTTTCAATCATTTAACTTTTAAAAACAATATGTAGATGATGGATACAAAAATACACAACTCAAAATAAATTTGAAAAGAATTATAATCTTCAAGGTATAAAATATAAAATAGTAATCAATTTTTAAGTTAACCATTGATATTGAAACAATCTTTACCTTTTTTTCAGTTAAGTTGTAGTTCTTCTTAATAATAAACTTCCCATATATAAGGTGCAGATGATAAATATTTAGAGCACTTGGAAGCTTTATATAATTTCGTAAAAATCAGTGAGAGTTACCCATCCTTACATTTTTTAAATATACCTACTTAACTATGACTACAATCTATTATATTTACAAATCTAATAATTCTTCCTCTTCACCACCTATAGCTTTCCAAAAAGCTGTAACCATTTGCTCAGCACACTGTTTCCTTTGATTCATTGGCATACCCTGTAAACTATCTTTCATTGTCTGCAGTTGTGAAAATAAATCGGTAAAATCATCAATATGCTCAGATGATAATGGATTTTTAGTATCAACATTCTCTTTTGTAGTTACCTTAGTATTGGATGAATTAGAATTCTTTTTAGACTTCATTACTAAATTTGACCACGTATGAGAATGTAGGGCTTCTATAACTCTATCCACGCCGTATTTCTCTGGAATTATATCATCTTCTCCTGGCTTTTCTGTTGTAGGGTATAATTCAATGAATTCAAAACCTCTTTTTAAGCACCACTCTAAAGCTTGGCCCTTCGTTACTTTTGTATTATCATTACAGTAATTCGCTAAAAGCAACTTAACATCTACATTGTAATCATTGTCTAAAAAGTCCCACTTCTTCAAATCTTCTAATCCTGTTTTGTTATTTGAATCCATATGAATGATTACAGCTTCTATACTACTAATAACATCTTTATCCATCGCAACATCAGTCTCTATTCCAAGTAAACTTACTTTAGCTGTATAATACTTTGTATCTATATTCCATGGATGCATTATTAAACCGGGTGTAAGGTCGTTTTCATCGATTTGCTGAGTTTTTGTGATGAGTTTGATAAGCGATTTAGGTCTGGTTTTGCTACAACTAACTATCACGATACCCGGTTGATTATTCATTTTATATATTTTAATTAAAACATTGAAAGTTAAATTCGTTTTAAAAATTGTTGACTTTGTCAAATAAAAAGACAAACCATACGACGTCACTATTCTTCTTCGGTTTTGTTGATAAATCAATAATATTGTCTCACCTTTGTGGGTATTCAAGGTTTCTTAGGGTTAACAAAAACCTAAATACATGGACATGAGTTGAAAAGAAGAAAAGTAGAAAAATCAGTTCGTTCAGGAAAATGATAATGGATAAATGCAATGGTTCTCTGTTCTCGTTGCTTAAAATACACTAAAGAAAGATAGAAATATGATTGAATCAATTTATGTCAAAGTATTGATCAAATTTCACAATTTGACAATTGACAACAAAATCTGACGTAAGACGTTTAGTAATCAAGGTAGTTTTTATTATTATTAAAAAGAAAACAGGAAATAAAAGTCCAAACAAGAAGATTACCAGGAACTAAAAGTAAAATGTATAATCAAAAAATGTTTCAACGTTATTTGAATACCTAAACTCCACTTTATCCAAAATATGTCTTAAAGGTAAACGATAAATATTTCTTAATATACCTCTATAATATTTTCACAAGTAAATCAAATTATTTTTAGCTGTTTTTTAGTAAAATGGAACTTAAAGTTTGGGTGGAAGGTATACAACGTATAGTATGTGGCGTTACAGAAACAACGACCTGCCAAGTAAATTTTCTATTCTTTATAGTTTTTTTCTACCCTATTAATATGACCTTATTTTCAGGATGTTGTCTTTGCCCTTGCCCATGCTACTGGCAAATCGGGAAGATTTACTCTTATTGAAAGGTGGAGAAATAACGAAAGACAACTGTCTCCTCATGAAAACCCTATGAAAATTATTATGAAATGGGGAGAATATTCAAATGATGTTCAGTTTATCTTACAACGTAGTGACAGCGTTAAAACTGTTCAACCCACCAAAATTAAAAGTTCTGGTGGTGGTAGTAGTAGCAGCACACCAACACATAATTCTAGTGGGTTAGATTCTTCTGATCAGCAGAAGGATGTAAATAAATCATTCAGGTATATATATCAACTATTTCTTGTTTTTTATTTGTTTTTTTTATTTCATCCCCGTTAAGCCCCATTTTGTTTAGTTTTTTTTTTAATAGTCTGTCCTCTTATAGTGCTTGTTTTTTGCTAAAAAAAATTTCGTTTAATTTTTAAAATATTTTAACCCCTGTTAACACTCCATTTTATTTAGATTTTTTCAGAATCAAGTCTTCATCCCCTTATAGGGCTTAATTTTTGCTAAAAATTTCATGTTTATATAATTTTTCGTTTTTAATTTAGATTTTTATTTATGTTTAACCCTCCTTAACCCCCATTTTTATACAGATTTTTTTCAGAATCAATAGGCTCTAACCCCTTATAGAGCTGGATTTTTACAAAAAATTTCATGTTGATATTGCTTTTTGTTTTTGATATATGATTTTTTTTTTATTTCATCCACCATTAACCCCCACTTTTTATCAAATATTTTTAAAAATCAATACGCTTTGTCCACTTGTATAGCTTGATTTTTATTAAAAAATTCGAGTTAATATCATTTTTCATTTTTGAGTTAGGATATTAGGAATATTAAAAATTTTAGTTTCTTGAAAGTAAACCTATAATACTCTTCACAGACTTACTGTGTGAAGAGTATAATAAGAATGACCACTTTTTTTTTCAGTGGTAGTTTTTTACCAAATTATGAAAATGTGGGAATAGTCAAGGGAATTCCACAAATGAAACCCGTTTCTTTGGAAGTAAGAGAATCTCTTTCAAATTCATCAAGCAGTTCTCCAAAAAAACGAAACTATTCCATATCTGGTTCTGATATCTCTGATAATTCTAGTCAAAGGGTAGCCCCTCCCTATAAAGATCCTCCTGCCCCGCCCCCCTATAGGAATCCACCGGCACCCAGCTCTGCCATTTATCAAGATAAATTTAAAAAGGTAGGTAATGTTTGTTTTTTATATACCAGTAATTTAAAAGTTTGATATTGTTTCTTAATTTTTTTTCTAAATTATTATTTAAGGCAGGCAATATTAACATTTATATTATAATATTTAAATTTATTTATAGAAAAAACAAACCTTTGTGATATTTATTTTATTAATTTATTTGTACTATTCGAGCATTTAAGTCTCCCAGATGTCAAAAGATTACATGGGACAAGTAACTTTAGATATATACTGTATTTTGAGATAAAATATTTTATATTAGCTATTTTTCAATACAATACCAGATTCATTTTGTTATGTTTTCTTAGTCAATACCAACCATTTAATATACAAATAGACAATAAAATGTTTTAACTAGCTACAACTCTATTTTAGGAACAAATAAAAAAAGATAAAGATGAGAATAGGAACAAAATTCAAGATAGTGTTTTATACAATGCTCAATATCGAGAGTTAGTAGCTCTTATTAACTATCAAAGAGATAAATTGTCAAGTCAACAAGCTGATCTAAATAAGGTGAAATTCTAAAAATACCAATACTAATAAGCAAATAATTATGCATTTATTTTTTAGTTCGATGCTGAAATTGTATTTTTAGAAAACAAAGAAAGAGAAAAGCAAAGACAGTTGGATTTCATAGCTCAGGAAATTTTAGCAATAACAAATGTTAGCAAAAACAACCAAGAACAAGTATGTTTATAATATTACCTTAATATGCATTCCAATTAATAAATGTTTTACCATTTTTATCTTTGATATAGGGAGCTATTTAACTTCATGTATATATTAAAAATGACAACAGTATGTCCAAAAATTATTGGTACCAGTTTTTAGATTATATTGTAAAATTTTACATAATTTTTCTATGCTTGGTTTTTAACACCATGGACATAATATTATTACCTAAGATAGATAGAATGTCTAAACATAAATAGAATGTGTAAACAATATTTTATCGGCATCATTAACTTGTCAAGGAAATGGGGATGTTTGTAGTAACTCAGATGCACTACATACCTTCCTTCTTACCTTATGACCTCACATCCTTCATGCACTTATCACCCTTTAGATAACCTTTCATTATGTGAGGGTCCTAATAAAACACAAAGGTTAAATAATAATAATAATACATCTTTATTAAAAACAAAAGCACCAGGGAGTCGAAGGTTGGCTATACAGCTACTGTTAACCCTTACCTAGTTGATATAATAGCATACTATTTACATTAGCTATGTTCGGGGAGCCGATCCTGATCATATTATGAACGTTAAGGTAAAGCACACAAGCCTATATTAACATTTAAACAATACAAATCCAGTTATAAAATGCAGTGTAATGTTTTTCTTAGCGTTCGGAATCAGTTCAGAATTGTTACCACGAACAAAACCATTAACATAAATATTAATAATATAAGATTCGTAGTCTAATAACAATAATTTACAAAAAAAAAAAATATTTATATAAATAATCACAAAAAATAAGAATTGAAATATAATGAGAAATCCAAACAAAAGCAGGTTAACGTTTATCTAATAAATACTTTTTAAGCTCACCTCTAAAAATATGCAATGATGCAATCCAATCCAAACTAATGTTCTGAAAATTAATTCTCAAACAAATAGGTAGGGTTCCTTGTCTTTAGAAGTTTATGGAAACATATTGATTGACAATCTTGAGCCAATTCAACTGAGCAAAATAAAGTGAGATATGATATTTCCAAAAATAAATCTGTAGCAAGTATTTTGTGTGAGCTGTAATTTTGTCCAGACAATGATAGTAAACAAAATTGTAATAACCATTTCATTGCCACGTACGCAAATTCACTTGAGGCCGGTACCATCTCACACGCCAAACAGGCGATGGCGCGTTCGTAGTTATACATACTTCTGCCGTTGGCTACTTTGTCGAGTTACAGATACAGTCTGGTAATTTTTTGTAGTTAGTGTAGTTCAGTGCACTTAATTAAAAGAATTTATTAAAAAATTATGAACAAATTACCAAGGACTATTTTTTCAGAAACTGGCAATAAAGACCTCAAAAACCTAACTAAATGTTTTATTACAAGTTTTTCCATCACGCCGTAAACGTGATTTCGTGTTTTCTATCTCTCTCGCCATGCATATGAATTCGCACAGCGAGACTCGATCGTTCCAATGCACTGGTGATTGGCGGTTGTACACAGATCGGAGCTGGCAATGAAAGGGTTACTATTGATTAAACTAAATGTTCACAAAGGTTTTGCCTCATTTTAAAGTTTAATGTATTCCTATTAATGTACGATTATAGCAATCTTGAGTAATATTCCTTCCTGGCTACGGAGAGTTAGAGGTGACTCGGTGCAGTGGAAATTTTTTCATTTACAGGTTAGATTGTTACTGATATAACGAGAAGCGGATCGCCAAAAGTCACCCTAGAAGAATAACGTAATTATAGTGGGTGAAATATGCAATTTTTTGTGTAAATTAATTGATAAGGTGCAGCGTTGAAAATTTACAGAATAATCATATATTACACTAGACAACCGAAAATTCTTGATTATACGAGATGTATTGCCTGTTTTTTTTTAGGCAATACATCGAGTTTCGAGAATTTTCGAGTTGTATTCAGATATACTCTAGAGTAGAAAGGAGTAATTTAATTTGCAGAACGTAATACAGGTTCAAGAGGAAAGCATTTTATTTATACCTCATCCTTCAATGCTTATTTGTAGTTAAAATTAAAATTTTAATATATCTGATCGCCCTAATAAAAGTTTTCATTTAGATTTAATCATGTTTTCATGGTCTTTACTGTAATAAACCTTTTCTTTTGCCAGATTAGTCGGACTTTAATTATTATTACTATAGATTCTAATTTTAAAGTTATATAAAAATGGCGAGTGCATTAGAAAATATTGCAAGCACAAGTCTTTAGAAGAAAAAATATCGTACTTAATGTATTTAATAATCTTTGAAAAAAAATTATTTCACTTTTTGTGGATGAAATAGACACTAAAGACCTATACTATATAACATCTAAGCGGACAGTGTATAACATTTTTAAAGAAGATACAGAGTTACTGGAGAAGTCTCACATCCGAAAAAGCCCCCAGGAAGAAACAAGACCTTTATTGAAACTTGGGTAAAGAATGTAATAAGGCAAATGTTACATTCTTTTGTCTTTCGGAATGAAATTCCTACACTTAAAAAATTACACTCAGAAATAGAAAATATTACATGAATTAAATTTTCTTTACAAAAAACGTGACAGAAACAGATTTTTAACAGAGAAAGACCAAAACATTGCTTGAAGACATGGTTATTTAAGGAAAATAGCGGACGCAAGAAATCAGCATAAACAGGTTTTTTATTTAGATTAAACACGGATTAATGCTGGACATACAGTAACAAAAATTTGGCAGGATATCCATCAAAACTAAATAACAAGCCTTTATGGAAGAGGTACTCTTGTGGATTAAAAAATCCAACAGGAAAAGGAAATCGTTTAATAATAACTCACATTGGAAGCACCGATGGATTTTTGCCAGATGGTTTATTAATGTTCGAGTCAAAAAAAAAAACAAAGACTACCATGAAGAAATGGATGGCCCTATGTTTGAAAATTGGTTTCAGAACATTATAATAAAAAAATTCTGCCAACTCCGTTATTGTTTTGGATAACGCATCCGATCACAGTCGATTAAAGGAGTCACTACTTACAACAAGATGGAAAAAAGAAGATATTTCAAAATGGCTTCATTCTAAAAATATTGTCGCTCGTAATAGCAAGGCAACATAAAAACAAATTCAAAAAATATGTTATAGACGAGATGGCCCGAGAAAAAGAAATTGAAACAATACAACATTTAAATTACCTGATAAGCCAAATTTGTTTTTGAAGGCAGTTTGAGATGTAGATGGTGTACATTGGAAAAAATGCATTGATCATGTTAAAAAGGTGGAAAATTCATTTTGAAAAGTGGATATAGCAATGGAATACCTAATACTTAGAGCCTACAATAATAAACCTCAGAAAAGACAATGATAATGATAATAGTGAAGACAGTGACTTTTAAAGATAGTTCTTGAACTTTTTATTATTTTTTTAATCTCTGTTTTTAGGTACTAAAGTGTTATTTAGATATTAAAAAAAGTTTAATCCCATTAACAACATATCTTATTTATTGGTTAAATTTAATTCGTTCAATGTTAAGGCTGTATGTCCAAGGGCACTATATCTAGGAGGATATCAAATAGAAGAGGGAGATTTACCTAACTTGAAGCCACTTCAAATCCTACATTTCCTTGAGAAAATAGGATTGGAAGGGTCGTTATAGGCATTGAGACATTTCCTTAGTGCATTGCATTGGCGACAGGAGGTGGCACAATAGATATTTTAGGTCACAGTGTACTAACACCCCATTCTCAACATAACATACTGAGTTTGGTTTTCTCATTTATTTAATCACTCTCTTTTAAAATAATACTTTTGCACATTCTTGTTTAATATGTATATGTAATTCAATAATACTTAGCATCTATTATTAAATTTTTCCAAACACTAGTTTTCTGAATTCTTTTAGATGCAAGCTCTAAGTTATGTAGAAGAAGAGAGTGAAATTGTAAAACAACAAGAAAAAACACTTCAGTCTGAAATAACTTTATTGAGATCAAAATTAGCAAACTGTGAAACAGAATTGTTGCAATGTAAAAATAAAATAAGGTAATTTTTTGTTATCTGTAGGTATCTATAATAATTTTTTAAAAATTTGCACTAATATTTTTTAGATTGTTAATGGATGAAGTCCAAATGGAACAAAGATCTCAAAGTCGAAGGCAAGAATCTCTCAAACAATTAGAACGAAACATACTGTTAGAAGTAGAAAGATTACAAAAAGATATTGAATTAGCAAAGCAAAGTGCTGATTTACACCATTTAACTGCAGAAACATTAAAACGTGAAGTAAGTTTACACCAACCTGTGTGTAATCCAACAGTACGTTCCAATTTAATATTTCTTCAGGTTGCTTCACTGGAAACCGCAATCCACGAAAAGAAAAAGCAAGTAGAACACTTGGTACATGAGATGAAAGAAGCAAACCTTGAGAGTCTCAGTATAGTACCCCCAGAGGATATTAGGCAAATTTTGGAGGGTCCCACGAAATCTGGAAGTACAAGGCGAATGATTGGCTCCCCAAGGCAGCTTGAAAATGCTGTACCAACGAATAAGAATCCACACGGCGTTTGGGTTTAGGTACTTCTCATTTAATCTGTACTAATAAAAATAATTTACTATCAACATATTATTGATAATGTTTAAACCACTCAGTGCACAAAAATATGTCTTAATTTACACATGCAACCAAAACGTTTTCTAAATTAGTATTTTGAGTGATATAGGATAATAAAGGATGCATGTATTGTCAATAGCTTGGTCGAAAAAGGCATATCTAACAAAATCGAGTTTTGAGATAATCGAGAATTTGTACAAAAAATTCTTTTTATAATTCAAAATTTGCTAGAGTATTCCAAAAAAGCAATATTATTCATAAGAGATATATATTTTATAATAATTTCATATTCAATAAGTGTTTGATTGGTAGGCCCTGCGTTTTTAAATTCATGATTATAACCCCTAAATATGATAGGTCACGTGGCATTTAGGCCCTAAAAAATGGTACTTAGGCCTTATCATTAACAAGAACAGTACATAGGACATAGGTCGCTTTTATTATTGAATAGAAATGTCTTCTTTTATTTAAAGAAAAATAAAACATTAATAGTTATTAATAGAAATTATAATTATTAAAGAAAAAAATATATTAATAACTGTTTCGATTTTTGAACAAAAAAAAAATCGGTAAAGTATTTTATCCTGAACTTCCCTCGATATAGAAATTGTATAAACAGCACTTAAATTTTAATAATTTAAAATTAAAATCATCAAACCAAAAACCCTTTTTCACATTTCTCTTGATTGGCTGTTTTTTAAAATGGTCCAAGTACACAAACCAAAAGGACAATTTTTATTATTTCCATTCAAGGGGACCCTTTTTTGATTAAATACGATTCCATGAAGCGCCATTTTGAATTGTAAAAAAATTATTTAGGATCTGTTATCTTTGGCTTCTACAATTCTCAGATACCAATTTTAGTCGAAATCTGCCATTTTTTAAAAATAATTTATATTTTAAAAACTGCTTACTTTGTATATAACTGGTTTTGAGCCAGAAAGGAACTTTATCTCCATACAAAATTTGAAGTTTTTCTATAAAGCCGTTTTTGAGCTATCGCGCCAACAGACAGACGGACGGAACGGGAAATATGTTTTTCATAATCTAGGGACCCTAAAAGGTGATAATCTGAAATAATCTCGGAAGGTGACTTTTTCACGATTACAATACTTCCCTTTTATAAAGGAAAGTAAAAATAAACTTAATTCCGCAAAAAGATGTAAACACAAAATCTTCTATTACTCATTACATTTTACAGAACCTGTCGGGCAGACTTCGTCTTCTCTAGCTTCACCTTGATCGTCTGATGATTTTAAATTTTTAAATAAAAGTGTCCCAATTTCTTTTTCGGAAGAGGAAAGGAATAGCAATTGTGTAATTTTTGTAAGGTAGGCAATGCTGAAAGTTGTAATTTTTTTCTTTTTCATTATATATCCTCACACTTTAAATTCTTCTTGCATAAAGCTTTGAGAATTTTTTTCCACCAGTATCCTTAGGGTATCTATAAAAAGTTTGGTTTCGAAACAACATTTCTTCTTCAAGCGCCATTTTTCTTTCTGAGTATAAAATGGGTTTTTGAAGAGCAATTATGTTAAAGAAATCATCCTGTTGTATACTCTTGACAAGAGTATACCACTCATTCGGCATTTTTATGTCTATTGAAGTGGGTTTTTGTCTTTTCAGTTGATGAGTGATTCGAATCTACTTCAAGGAGTGTATATCCATAGATTAAGAATTTATGTTCAATATTTTTTGGCAAAAAATTAAATACCAAAGAAAGCATTGTTGAGACAAATGTTTTTGGTTGAAAATTGTGGATAAACTGAAGGTTTATTGTGAAAATGTTGTCGGTTTAATGGTGTTTCTGTTACTAGTTAACTTAACACCTGGGTGTAGCTATTCACTAAGTCATGGGAGCGCTTCCATGGGAGTGTTCCCATATATTTTGCTCTCTTACTCTTAGGTGGGTATATCGTGCTTACTCCGACCTAACTACGCATGTACCTGGGCTAAAAGTGAGTAAGCACGATATACCCACCTAAGAGTAAGAGAGCAAAATATATGGGAACACTCCCATGACTTAGTGAATAGCTATCCTGGACTAAACGAGGGTTTTAATGCACGTGATGTGATGTACCTTCGACGATGCAATATAGGTGACCATTGAAGGGTCGAAAAACTGAAAATTATTCTGATAAACTGACTTGGGATCGAATCTAAATACTCAGATTAACAACTAGTACACCAGATACACAAGCTCTGGTGGTCTAGCAGTTATGACGTTGGAACGGAAATCCAGAGGTCGTGAGTTATGCCTCTCCCAGAGCAGAATTTTTTTCAATTTTTCAAAATGTTCTTTAGTTTGTTATCGCATCCCAATTTCTCTATAATGGCTTTGTTCTGACCTGAGCAAAAGACAAGATGACCTGATGTAATTTCATCCCGCTTAAAAAAAGGATTTGTTCTCGATATTATTTGATACCTCATAGACAGTTAAATTAAACACCCACAATTGCCGTTTACAAAATGCGATTCCATACTATGAGAAGTCAGTAAACACTTTTGAAAATCAAACATCGCATTAATAATGGTGCTATCACTTTTGATTTTTTCTTTATTTTTCTCCTTTTCTTCGTATGTATTATCTGCTTTATTTTGTGATCTTATTTTCTTTTTCGTAATTTATTATATCCCCTTCATCATTGGAGATGTTATTCAAAATTTCTAATTAAACGTAAACAAATTTATTGAATCCAAGAAAAACACAAGATTTTGTACAGATTCATCCTCTTATAGGTACATAAGTTAAAAATAACATTAACAATCAAACATTGGAAAGAAGTATAACTTAAAAATACAAAATGAAAAATTAGAATTTAAAAAGTCGTCCTATTGGAGAAAACTTTCAAGGAAAAGGAAAAAGCAGCCAATTTGTCGCATTTGCTACATGTATCGTTGTCACGATGTTTTTTTTTTCAATGTCTGCAGTACTATATGTAAAGTGTATGCACAGATCGAACCATAATTGCAAAATAATAAATACATGTAGTTCACTTAGGCCTGGCTTAATTATTACATGTGAGATTAAAAAGGGCCCAAGTAAATATGGACCCAATGTTTTAAAAGGAATTTACACTATGTCGCCTTTCAAAAGAAAAAATAATAAAATTGTTTAAAAGGCCTAAGAACACAGACCATATTTTTCAGGCCTATTAATTACTTATACTTATGCCCATTCTACATTTCATTGTTTAATTAAATAGGAGGTCCCAAAATGAACATATATTCATTATAATTTTTACACTTAGACCCTTTTTTCATTCAAATTTTCATAACACTATTCATTCTAGATCTCTTTCATTAAATTGAAGGCTATTTATTTGGTGAGATACGCCCATTTACTCTTTAATTAAAAATTTGTATTTAGATCCTTTTTCGACCAAGCCACAGATATAATATTTGGCTAATAGAATAATGAAGGTAGATTAAAGTGCTAATTTTCTTGATACGAACTTTAACAATACCCATCGGTATTTTCTTAAATGCGTTTTTTATTGTGCTGTCGTTTGTAAGAATAGAAGTAATTAAGTATAATGCGAGGCGTATTCCAAAACTAAGGTCCGTTTGGTCAATAAGAAAAGGTTTTTAGTTATAGCAATATTTTGCTATATATCTACTTTACTTGTTCACATAATCGCTGTTCACATTTATACACTTTCTATAATGCTGCACCAGCTTTTTCAACTCTGCATATAAGTCTGCCGCCTGGGAATTGAACCAGTTGGTAACGCCAGTTTTGAGTTTATCGTCGTTTTGAAATCGTTGTCCACTTAGCCACTTTTTCAAATGCAAAAAAGAGGAAATAGTTACTTGGTGCAAGGTTGGGACTATATGGAGGATGATCAAAAAGTCCCCAACGAAAATCTTATATCCTCCTTGGATTTGGCAGCGGTGTGATGGCGTAGTAGGGTTGCCACCTGTCCTTTTTTCATGCAAAATGTCCTTGCGATTTTTTAAAGCTTAAAATGTCATTTTTTATGGCATATGTCCTGTTTTACTCTTTGATATCTTTGAAAGGTACTTGGGATGTCCAAAAATGTACAAGATGATAAACTTTTTTTTAGAAGCTCGTTGACTTTTTTTGGTACACACTCGCTCAGCATCATTGTCCTTTGTTCACTTTTCAATAAAGTGGCAACCCTAGGGCGTGGGTTGTCGTGAAGGAAAATTATACCAGACGACAGTTTCCCACGTCGTCGATTTTGGATCGCACGTCTCAATTTGGTTAGTGTTTTATAGTATACCTCAGCTGTCATTGTTAACCCAAGGACTATGAAATCGAATCAATAGGATACTCTTTCCATCCCAAAAACCGATAGCCATAATTTTTGAGATTGCTTAAACCTTTTGGTTTGAGTGAACATGGCGCCACTGCATTGATTGTTTCGATTCTGCGTTAATGTATGATATACACGTCTTATCTCGCGTAATAATGTGAAAAACAAATAATCTCCATCTTGTATATAGCGCTCCAAAAACTGTCTTGCCCTACGCATTTTTAGCTCTTTGTGTTGTTCAATAATAATCCTGTGATTTTGGGAATTCATTAGTCAGACCACTGATCATTAATCGCCGAAGCTTCGGCTACGGGTTCGGCCATCTTCGGCCAAAACAACATTGGGCTTCGGCTTAAACCATCCGAAGGTTTTTTGCCGAAGCCGAAGGTTTGTGTCCAGCCGGCCAGCCGCCGAAACTAAACGAAATAAATATTACGGTTTACGAATGACCCGGCGACTGTAGCACGAGGTAACGACAACAACTCTCAAGTAGGAAATGGGGGTGGGGAAGTTAATGTTTGATTGTTTGACGACAAAACAATTGCATTTGTATTGATTTGAGAGTTATCATTTTTAGAAATGTCCAATTGTCAACAATATATAAAACGCAATAACAGTTCACAATTTACATTGGTATATAATATTTTTTAGTTTAGTCAAGTAATGTTACGAAATTAATAAACCTTCGGCTACGACAAGAGCCTAACAATCGACTTCGGCCAAAAACTGACCTTCGGTCAGACACTAGTTATAATCTTGAATCTTTCAGTTATTAATTACTTTAAAAGTTATTAGAAAAAAGTTTGCTGTCAGCTTGGTAGCAGTAAAAAATCTTATTGCTGCTGTGGTGGATAGAAGGCATTGCAGTTGAAAACTACTTTACTTTATTTTACAAAAATTGTACATTCGGGGTGGATGGACTGAAAAAGTGGAAAAACTTTTATTTTCGCCTTTTCGAAAAAAAGTTTTT